AAAAAAATTTAACAACTTTTCTTTGTCAACTATTTTACAATACGTGGTGAACTGTGATTGGTCTGTTTCAAACATTTTTTTGAAAATAAATTCAAACAGACCAATAAAACGGTGATACATATTATGTTGTAAAAAAATTGTTAAAAAAGTTGTTAATACATCATCATCCCATTGTTAATGACACAAGTAATGTTAAAGTGACATTGACTTTAAGGTAAGATTTTGAATTTGAAAGTGAATGATGAGCTACAAAGAGGTTTTGTGACCAAGAAGGGTAAGAAAATAAAATAATTCATACATTTAAACCAGACAACCGCAATAATATTGGATAGCGGACATCACCATGTATGCATCTGCCTAATTTTACGTGATGATAAGTTGTTACCTAGTTAAGTTCTAACCAGCTAGCCTCTGCTTGCATATATATACTTTGGTATATATAGTAGCCGATCAGAAACATCCTTGGTTTAATCGATGACAGCATAACCTTAAATTTGAATGTTCCCCGTACTATATAGGTAACAACTATGTTTTCCACAGTATATATATAACCACGTGGAGTTTCCAGTTACTACCACTCTATAAGAACATCATAATATTAACCAGGCAAGTATTCTCCACTAATATGGAACTTGCATTGCCTCTTGCTCTTATTTTCGCGCTAATTAGTGTATGTCCAACAACTTCGGCACACCAAAATCCAGAATTCGCCAAAGCAATAGAGGAACATTATCTTCCAACTGAAGAAATCAATGTTCCAAACAGCTTGCTGACTTACATTGTTCGCGTTGAAAGGTCTGATGAGGGTGGTGATTCTCTTCGGTCTAAGTACTTGCTTGGTTGGTACCGTTCTCTCCTTCCATCCAGTTTGGAATCTGATCAGAACCCGCGGCGCATTATTTTCTTATACCGCAACGTGATGGATGGATTTGCAGTGGAATTGACCCCAGAAGAAGCCGAAGCTCTCGAAGAGAAGGAGGAGGTTGTGTCAGTGCGTCCTGAAAGGACCTATTCATTACACACAACTCATACTCCAACGTTCTTGGGGTTGCAACAGGGACTGGGATTATGGAGCAATTCTGATGTTGGTAAAGGCATCATAATTGGACTTCTGGACACGGGCATAACCCCTGATCACCCTTCTTTCTCTGATGAAGGAATGCCACTTCCACCGGCAAAATGGAATGGCCTCTGTGAATTCTCTGGACGGAGGACTTGCAACAACAAGCTCATTGGTGCAAGAAATTTTGTCAAGAACTCAAACTCATCCCTTCCGCTGGATAGTTTTGGACATGGGACCCACACAGCCAGCACAGCCGCAGGAAGGTTTGTGCAGGGTGCTAATCTCTTTGGCAATGCCAATGGTACGGCGGTTGGTATGGCACCTGATGCACACTTAGCAATGTACAAGGTATGTGACCTCGCTGGTTGTTTGGAAAGTGCAATACTTGCTGGAATGGACACTGCCATTGAGGATGGCGTGGATGTACTTTCTCTCTCCCTTGGAGGACCCTCTTTTCCTTTCTTTGACGATTCAATTGCACTTGGTGCATTCAGCGCAATTCAGAAGGGAATTTTCGTTAGTTGTTCGGCTGGTAACTCCGGTCCTTATTATGCCAGTTTATCTAATGAGGCTCCGTGGATTCTCACCGTTGGCGCAAGCACCATTGACAGAAGAATATTAGCAACAGCGAAACTTGGCACCGGGCAAGTGTTCAGCGGGGAATCTATTTTCCAACCCCACAACTTCACGTCAACGTTGCTACCACTTGTTTATGCAGGTGCAAATGGAAACTCCTCGTCGGCCTTCTGTGTTCCTGGATCCTTGGAAAACGTGGATGTGACGGGAAAGGTAGTGTTGTGCGAGGTTGGTGGATTCGTTAGAAGTGTAGACAAAGGACAAGAGGTTAAGAACGCCGGTGGAATAGCCATGATCCTCATGAACTCAGTAATTGGAGACTTCAATCCCTTTGCCGAGGTTCACGTTCTTCCTGCTACACACGTAAGCTACCGTGCTGGGTTAGCCATCAAAAGTTACATAAACTCAACTTCAACGCCAACAGCAACAATTTTGTTCGGAGGAACCGTTATTGGAAGCCTCTTTGCACCTGCAGTTACTTCCTTTTCCTCAAGGGGTCCGAGTTTTGCGAGCCCGGGAATTCTTAAGCCTGACATCATTGGTCCAGGACAGAACATTCTAGCTGCATGGCCCGTGTCTTTGGACAACAATGTGCCTTCGTTCAATATCATTTCTGGCACATCAATGTCTTGTCCTCATCTTGCTGGCATTGCTGCTTTGCTTAAAAATTCTCATCCAGATTGGTCTCCTGCTGCCATAAAATCAGCAATCATGACGACTGCTAATACAGTGAACCTTGGAGGGATGTCCATATTGGATCAAAGGCTTCTACCGGCTGATGTTTTTGCCACAGGAGCTGGACATGTTAACCCTTTGAAGGCCAACGATCCCGGGCTTGTTTATGATCTTCAACCAAATGATTACATTCCTTATTTGTGTGGCTTGAATTACACTGACAAAGAAATTGGACTGATTTTGAACCAAAATGTGGACTGCTCCGAGGTGAAAACCATACCGGAAGCTCAACTCAATTATCCCTCGTTTTCAATTCAGTTGGGATCAACTCCACAGTTCTACACTAGAACACTTACAAATGTTGGAGCCACCAATGTAACCTACTTTTCCGAAATGGACCCACCTTTGGGAGTAGGCATAAGCATAAGCCCTGCTAAGATAACATTCACAGAGGTGAAGCAGAAGGTTACATACACTGTTGGATTTATTCCTGGGGACGCAAAGAATAGAGGGAATCACACGTTTTCTCAAGGTTCTATCAGGTGGGTATCTGGTAAATACTCTGTTAGCATCCCTGTAGCTGCTGTTTTCCTATGAAAATTTGGACGAGTTAGAGTATCATGTCATTTGGTATTTAAGGAATAAAGATTGAAACCTGCATTCTCCTAAGATGCATTCTTGCAGTGCAATTACATCAGGAGCTATTCCAGTTTCTTTAAATATGTAATTCTCTACTGTTAACTCTCCTAATAATATGAAGTTATTAGTTTTGAATGGTCCTATTTAGGCTGTTGATATATTCTCTTTTTAGTTGAACCAAAGTTTAAAAGGTGTAATTTTGTTAAAGACAAATGAGTTTGGTCTTACACCAGCACATAGGTGGAAAAGTCTATGTATTGTACCTTTTTAGCTGCCAAAATTCACTTATATATTAATTTTAATATTTTCAAATATATTAAAGAAAAATATTAAATATTAATAGCAATATACTTTTAATGTTTTCATGTTGAGCAGAGAACAACACTAAAATTTAATAGAGAGTTTGGACTGGCTTTATGGTGTTACAGATTTGGTTTTACAGTTATACACACCAACTTGGTATCTCCGCATGAAATATATTTTTTTCTCCAAAATTTCAAAAAATAAAAAACGTTTGATGAAAGATGAGCATCTAACCATTAGCTATATATTGACTTCATGCACCACAGTCAAACATGAAATTAGAAATACAAATATTTACCTAAAACCGTTTTAAGTCATATTTTAGCATAATTGTAATTTTAAAGGACTCATGTCATCTTACCTTATAATATTGCAAGAGGTTTATATGTTGGAAAAAGATAGTTTGACTTCCTCCTTCTCTTTTTTTCTAAAGAAATTAACCTTGAGAAGTATGTGTATATAATAGGATTGTGAACATATTAGAACCCTAATATCTTTAAACACACTCTTCCCTTAAATATATGTATTATGATATATTGATAACTTCCATGTCTTATATAACCAACCAACAACCATTTATATTGATTTGGTTTTCCTAAAGTATATATGAGTGCACTAAATGACCTAATTTTGGTAGGCTTGTTCCTTTAATGGATTAACTCTTTGAAAAACTATAAGCATAAGAAATGTTTAAGTCTATTATAAAGAATAGATAAAAGCAACTACAAGTCTCTAGGTCTTTTTTTATAATAAAACAAGTACTTGAAAACATATTGATAATTAAATAAATAATTTTTTTAACCATAAAAAAACAAAATAATGCGTATTAACTTGTTATATAAATTTGTTAAGAAAGTTAAACCTATAATTGTTCTTTATTTTAATTAAGGAAGTTAAGGAATAACTATTTATCTAAGAATGGAAAAGTGGATTAAAAAAATGAAATCTCCTTATTCTTAACCATCAACTGTCCTCTAATAGTTTTATATTATCCCCCCTTAACTTTTTAAAATGTTTTTTCATCATATATTATCAATCTTCAAATATTTCAAATATATACAAATTTTGAATATATGGAGAACAATTTATTTTAATATTTATATATATAATAAAAACAACCTTTTAAAAATGATTTTAATATTTAAAAAATACATACAATTCCGTAATTAAATTTAAAGTAATAATTTTTTAACATTTATTTTATATAACTAATTATAATAATTTAATAATATAAATGTCTGAATTAATAGAACAATGTCTAAATACTATATTGAAGGTTGTCATATAATTATATATAAAACAAGAATTATTAAAATATCATTACTCTAAATTTTAAATGCCAACAAAGGATGCCAAGCAGTGATATCAAGTACTCCAAAGATATCCCTATTTTGCCTGCCACAATTGCAAAGAATTCTACCGGAAGAGTAGTATAGTATATTTATCAACAATATTCAACATTTTGGTATTGTTAAGGTTGTCTTTGAAATGTTAAGAAAATATTTTGAAATGTTATTTACATATTCTCTATGCATCTCAAGCATCAAAGGCAACAAACAGCAATGACATTCCCCATTTTTGGCCCACAGACGATCATATGTAATCCAATCAACTTCAGATCTATAAAAACAGAGCATATACATGGAAAACCGAGTGTTTCTTCATGCTTTAAAAAAAATAGAAAATATTTAAATACGACATGCTGAGTTCAATATTATATAGAGCCCAAAGTAATCTCAAAACATTAACAAAATTAAAGACAGTTTAAAAATCAAACCAATATCACCATCATCTTTGCTGACAATTTTCCACAGGGACAAAAATGCCAGTTTAGCATAGGGATAGGGGGCATATTATATACACAAGGTACGTTTTGGTTCTGACTCTAATCTAAACTCTGTACAATTTGTCAACAAGCCTCAAAGTAGCCTTGGAATTGAATCGCATTTATACGAGGTTCAATATCAAGTTCTAATTTTAGACAATTACAATTAATTTCCATGTCGTCTTTGCCATAAGAAAACAGGAAAAGGGCCTCCTTGCCCAAAAAGTTACCATATTCGCATATTGCAAGAGAAGTTGTAACCATGGAAAAGATGTCTGATGAATCCTCCCACGAGGGTTGCTCCTATTTCTATCAACACATTCTTCTATGTTCCTGCAAAATACATCCTAGCTGTGGAATCACTGAATTGACTACTTATTACGATTTGGAATTTGATTACAGTAAAGACATTCACCTTTCACCATCAGGTGGATTACTTCTCAGCAATTCCATTCATTTCCAACATGGTTTAGTTGCCTGAGAATTTTGATGCCTTGGTTATGGTTTCCTGTGACTAATGGATACCATGTCTAGATAAAAAAAAATACACAAGAAAATAGCAAAATGATGTTGATATAAATACTGACACTGGTGCGTAACTGTTTCTTGCCTCTGCTATGGACCTCCTCCAGGTATTCTTCATAGGACTACAATCAACACAACATACATTCAATCAGAATTAGCAGAGGAAACAAATATAGAAAGACACATTAAAACTGGAATATTCTCAAATAAAAAACATAACAATCGGAGTCACAACAGGATGAATAAAAAGTGAAGGACTTGCATGATCGACCTTTACATGCCTTTTGAGATGTCAAATGATCCAAACCAAATGACAAATTGTTCAATGTATGCTCTCTAACAAGATCTGACTAGTTTCCTCACTAATGGAGAATATTCATTTATCGTGATTATAGTTGCAGCGCAAAGCCATAAAAATGATTTTTTTTTTTAATAAAAATTCTTCACAAATCAAGAGTCTGCCTAAATGGTGATTCAATATTCCATTCTAATAGCAAAAATAAGACTTCATTCCAGGTTAAGGTCATTTGAAATATAGCACCACGTTTTAGAACAAGAAAGATCTTATATTTGGTTTTGGCTTTGACAAAGCCATTTGATCGCGTGTCATTCCCTAAAGAGGATTCTTAAGGTTGTCTAGCCAACAATCAGAAATAAAATGGAAACAATAAAAAATAATTTATTAGAGGAAGAAAGAAATACTCCCAGTACCATGTCAAGAAAATCATCCTCAGTTAGGGTACTACCGGCTAAAGGGCAGCCTGTAGACACACCCCAAAAATCTAATTGAGAAGACACGTCCTTCTTTGTTTGTAGCTCTGGAATATGTCCACTATAATGAGCACGTTTAATCCCTGACAGTTGTGGCGATGCAGAAGAAGAGATAGGCAGTGTTTCAGTAAGCATTGTCCCACTGAATCTCTGCTTTGTTGAACGAAATTCATTTATTACGGGTTGATTTTGGTAAAACAGGGAAGGATAAGCCAGGGGCATTGACCATGACATATGAAGTGGACGAAATTTATAGTCTTCGTCTCCCATTGAACTTGGAGTACTCACATAGCGACCCTTAAATGAAAAATCACCCCTTAAGGAACTGCACATGCAAAAACCAATAAGCAGGAAGCCTCCTCTAAACAGTGCTAGACAATAACCAGATAATAACCAGATAACAATTGCCACCCTAAAAAATATACCTGGTCAGTAGGTCATTGGTATCATTCTTACCATCAAGAAGTTCACAAAGAGCTAGGCCAATGTCTGGAGATAACTCCTAAGAGGGGCAACTTGATTTAGAGTTACAATTGCATAACATATGCAAAATTTTGAAAGATCTGAACGGTTAAAATAAAAGAAAACCTGACAGTCTCTGCTAATTTTGACAGGCTTATAGTCATTCAACGGATTCTTGAGATGTAGAGTTTTGTGGAAAGGCAAATCATTGAAACGCAGCCACTGGACCTTAAAACTGCGGCCCCAAGGATTACTTTTACCGATTCCCTCACTCCAAACATTGTCTCTACCCCTTCCAATGGAGGACATCATTTGTGCGTATCCTTGGAAGGAACCACTCGTGTTGACACTAAATATAAGGATTACACAGCCCGAGTTCTGCAACATATGCTGATAATTCTCAAGAAAATTATTTTTATCTTATGGTAATTTATTTCCTAATTCTTGACGGACCCTAAAGCCTAGAACTATTTCAACAATACAATTGGAGACCAGAAAAATAGGCTCTACTTACATGAAAAGCTTCGTCTAGAATCCGTTCATTCATAATTTGAGTAGCCCAAATTCCTTTCTTAATAGACAAATCAATATTTTGACGGTTCAAACTCTTAATGATGAAATACTTAATATCATTCCACTTTTCCACTCCAATTCCTGTTGGATGCCCTATCAGACCATAAGAGTGTTCCGCTATATCTGTCCGAATTGGATTATTGTTTTCATTAAACTTGTAAGAGGAGCTCTCTAACAAAAAGGATCACAGATAAATCAGAACTCAAAGTAGAAAAAAAATATTAATACAAGAGAATATGAAATGAAAAAAGCTAGCATGCATGCATCTGTGCTTAAAAATAGATATGTACATGAATGATTTTGAGTATAACAAATTCCCAATCCCAATCTTCACTACACATGCCAAAGTCAGTGATCATACGGACAACTCCAAGAAAAATTTGCTAATTAAGAGTACGTTTGGATTTGTAAGTTTTTATGGATTGAGAAGGTGATTCACCGTTTGGAAGTATAAGTAAACAATGGAAGGAAGGATGTGGGACGAGTGTTTAGGTTAGAAATATGTAACTTTACTCTTTTTTGTCAGCCATTTTGTTTTACATATTTTATCTTACATGAAATGTTTAGTAATTTTAAATCTCTAATTCCATCCCCCACAATGCAAACTCCTTAATCCACGTGATCTGCATGTGACAAGAGAAATATTATCAAAACCTGGATCATCTGAATTTCCAATGTCATTCCTCCATTCAGTGACCGATGAATCAACTACCGACACATTTTCCTTTGCGCTATCAGAAGACATATCCGAATTGACCTGTCATGAAATTATGAAAGTTAAAAGCAGAATACAAAGTATATACATTACAACAACCCAATACCAAAACTAGGAAGAGAAAACCAAAACAACTATGCAGAATACAGTTATAACAACACAATTTTCATAAATAACTGGTTTTGCTAAAGTCATTAACATGGTTTCGAAAAAAATTAAGCAGATAATCCATGTGTTACTTTCATGATATTCATTCATAGGAAATACTAACAACTACAAGGATTATGTTTGTTGCCTCCGATAAAATTAGGAGGGGGAGGGAGGATTTTATGGATGAATCTCACCAAGAAATTTATTCTTTATCCTAAGACGACAAAACAACCACACGCCTGTTCTTCGGTATTCATGCGCACTAAAATATAAGTAAATAGCATAAACAACCTCCCGAATACTCTAGCTGTCTCTCTCTCTCTCTCTCTCTCTCTCTCTCTCTCTCTCTCTCGCTCTCTCTCTCTCTCGCTCTCTCCACACTCAAGAACACAGAATACCGATATGAGTCAAAGTTCACCTCAGTCAGAAACTCCTATTTTGCCTAAAGTCGAAGCAAGGAGATCAATGGGTGCTACAATTAGTTACAGTATGAATAACAAAAATCGAAGCAAAACATAAAAAGCAAAATAACCCCCTGAAACCTAAGTGCGGCATGATTGGTGAAGAAGAAGAAAAGGTAAGGCGTAATACATAAAAACCTACCCCTTAAACAGTGAAAAAGTTGCAAATGTAATGATGTGTGTGGTGCTTCAGGTGAAAGCAAAGTTACTGAATCTTGATTCAAGAACGCATTCCATTTCAGCATGATAAAGGAGAAGAGAATTTGTAATGGAAGTTTGAAGAGACTCACCAAATAGAGGACTGAAGTTTGAGGCGCCAGTGTTTTGAGTTTGGATCCTTATCGCTTATGTAACGCCCCTGCTGCACTCGTTGCTTTTCTTTACCGGGACTTTCTTTTCTTTTTGCAAGTGTTTCTGTCTACTTTTTCATGTTTTTTCTAATTTATCCATTCATTCCTAATTAAATTATGTATTATATTTAAAATTTTAAATGTTATTTTATTCTTTCAATTTTATTCAATTTGTATTTTCTGTCACTCAATTTGAAAAAAAAAGTATCTAACTTAGTTATTTGTTATTTTAATCTAACCTCTAATTTCTATATTATATTTTATATTTTAAATAATTAGATTTTTTTAAAGATAAGTATGTATCCATCATGTAACCAAAATAAATAAAGCATACATAAATTTCACTTTTAGATTACAATTGAATATTTTAAAAAAAATGTCTCTATTCTAAAATGGAAAAAAGAACGTGGATAGAGTAAAAAAAAACTAAAATTTCATTTAAGTCTGTTTTAAAGAATAATAAATGTGAAACAGTATTTGTACTAATTATTTCTTTTATTTTTATAATATTGAATATAATCAATTACTTCCATATAAATATCAGCAGTCTTAATTATTATTTAATGTTGAATGAATTAAGTATAACTTTAAATAAATAAAAAAATTAAAATTATGAATTAAAATTATGAAAAGACACCACCGAGTTGCTCTCGTTATGATTTGTGGTGTGGGTACTTGCAGGTAACACCAGTTACGTTAATTTAATAGATATTTAAGTTTAAACTAATCAACGTTTAAGGAATATAATTGGTTTGAATTTTTTAAATATTTGTTAATCCAATCTAAACCACCCTCTTGTTCAATCTGAGTAAAGTTTTGCTAAAAGAAAAATAAAAATATATAATTACACTGCATAGCAATTCTAAATTAAATATTTTAAAACTTTAACCTTTTTTTAGTAAAAATAGTGTCTTTTGTTTTATTTTATCCCTTGAAAAAAATAAACAACTTTTATTTATAGGTATTTTTACATACTTCTCTTCGACTAAATAATCTTTTTTTTTTCATTGTTTCACTTTATTATTTTCTGTATATTTCTTTAATTTCTACCAAATATATAGTTGATTTATTACTTTATTACTAATGTTAATCCCGACTTACCAATATTTATATATGTAATTAGTAACTTATATTGATTATAGTTAAATTTGTTTATTATTCTCGTTGGTATACTCCTTTTTAGATGATCTTAGGCTATATTTACTAGGGTGATAAATCGGTCGGTCTTGCCCATTTTATTCTGATCTGTTTTTTATTTACCAAAAGTGAATCAACTTTTCTTTTTAATTCTTTTTAATTTTTCAATTTTTTTCAAATTTATTTTTTTATTTTATTTTTTAACTGTATTTATATATATACTTATTAATAAATATTTAAAGCATATTTAATCATATAAATGTTTTATAAATTTTGACATGCTGACATGCGAGTCAGAACTTATTTTAATATCCTTAATATTTATTGTATATGATTTACAAATTTAGATAAGAGTATTTTTAAAATAGAAACGTTAAATTGAATTGAGTTTATTAAAATTTTATACATATATTTGAACATAAACCAAGTAATGATCATATACAAATTTTCCATTAGATATGTTGTCGTTCATAAATCAATCACATGAGTTATAAACCCATATAAATCAATATTTGTATAAAAACTAATAAAGAAAAAGCCAAACATTAATAAACTCTGTTAATCAAAAGAATTCATAAATAAAATGAATTTATATGAATTGTTTTTAAGTTTTTAATAAAAAAATTCTAAAGAATTTTCAACAACTTAACACACACGTATAATATATATATATATATATATTATAATTTAGATTTGATTATGGTATATGATAATATTTATTATTTACTAATAAAACTAAGTAGTTTGAAGAAACAATTGAGACGTTTTTTAAATAACCTTAAATTTTAGTTGTTTATAGTTGCAACTAAGCTCTTTAATGTAGATTTTGATGGATATATTTGATTTTGTTCATTAAAAAAGTCAAAGTGGGGGACTAAAGTATGTCGCATATATATTTATTTATTTATTTTTAAAGAAGCAAAGACTTGGCCATATTTTTGATATAATGATGAAAAACATGTTTAAATAATGATAAAAAGAACAACTTCAATAAAGAAAAATAATATATTTAATAAAGGAGATGAAAGAAACTTAACATGAAGAGAGAGACCAGACGAGTGGTCATTTTATTAGTACAAGCAAAAAGACTAAGAAGTGCAGAAGAGAAGCATAGAGAGTAGAGTGATGATGAATGACGAGACAGAGACTCAATTCGGGAGAGCTTCCTCGTCCTTCCTGAAAAGTTTGTGGTGAATATGTTGAGCAAAAGTGCGGGGAGGAAAACGTGCCGGTTCTTTCTCCGTCACAAGTTCAGGCAGTGGCTGCAAGATGATCTTCTCCTTCGGTGGTTCACAGAACACCGCCCACGATATTCGAACCTTTTCTTTGTTCACCAATCCCCTGTGGAGAATACTCTTGTACCTCCCGTTACTCAGGATCTCAATGGTGTCTCCGATGTGCATGAAAATCGAATTAGGCACACACTTCGCCGTCACCCATTTTCCCTTGTAGAAAAGTTGCAGACCCGGCACCATGTTATGAAGGAGGAAGGTCAGTGAACTTATATCGGTGTGAGCTTCAACTCCCAGAGCCAATTCCGGCTGTGGACAAATTGGGTAGTAGTTGATCTTCAACTGAAGCAAAAGCTCTTCCATTCCACCCACTTCCTTCTCTAATCTTCCACCTTCCAACCCCAATCCAATAGAAAGTGCCTCCAGTATCTTCGTCGCAAGACTCCTCAGTTGCCTTGCATACTCGCTAGTTGCCTCACTTTATCAAAAACAAAACATAGCAATATATATGTAAGAAACTATAATCAAGTGGAAGGAACGAAGAAACGATGACGATGAATGCTCACGTGTAATCAGAAGGTTTGGTTGGCCAGATGGAGAGGTCGCGTTTGTCTTCAGGATAAACAAGGTGGAAGAAGTAATCTTCCCACTCCAATTGCCCACTGGCATTGTTGGCAAGCTTGCTTCCGTACCCCTGAATCTTCCCAGAGGCTTGGTCGTTGGCGTACTTCTCCTTCTCCTCAATGGGAAGAGAGAAGAAGGTTTCCCCTGCTTTCCGCAGGCGATTCAAGAGCTCCTCGGGGATGCCATGGTTCACCAGGTTCATCACGCCCCATTCCGCCGCCGCTTTCTTCAGCTTCTCCCGACACTTCCCTCGAACAACCTCCGACGGCGAGTCTATCTCTCCCAGGTCAATCGTTGGAACTTGAGGCCCTTCCTTCTTCTCCTCCTCGAACACGTTTCCTATGTTGTCCAACTCCTCTTGCGGCCTCACGTACTCCTTCGGGATACACGTTATCCCTCTGCTCGCCAAGCTTTCAACTCTCGGACCCACCGTACCCATCTTCTCTCTCCAACCTTCTTTCACTTCACCTCTTGGATGTTCAGTTCTTCCTCTCCCTGGGTTTTATATTCCAATTCTAAGCAAACACCACTGTCAATTTCCCTAACAGTCTCCATCCATTTGCGTTGGTTGTCACGTGGCAGCTCCTCAACAAACCAAAACTTCAACGCGCCTTGACTGGAGGTTAAGCTCCTGCATCATCTGCATCCACACCACTCCGCCTAACCCTCCATTGCCATTCTCGAACTTCTCTTTCAAGTATTTTACTCGTTGAATAAATTCTTTTTTATATTTCTAAAAACAAAAACAAATTAAAAAATCAAATAATAAATAGTACTATTCTTTTCTATTTCATATCTATCAACCACAATTAGCTCCCTCCAACACCGCCTGAACACCAAATTTATTCGACCATATTCTCCCTTTATTTATTACGCCTTCCTTCCCTCAAATAATTCTCCATTCAACCAATTTTGCCTGCTTCAATCAGAGGGGAAAGGGAACGCAATCTTATTTATTTATTCAATTATTATTTCTATTCAACCTTAACCAAGTAAAACGAAAAGGAATCGGCAAAACAAATTAATTTATTGATTTTCAATGTATGTGTATATATTTGCTATAAAAGAATACGTCGGATCAAAATATATGGGTCATTTCAATGTCGTGTCGGCTATGATTTGGTATCGATGAATCTCAAGATGGTTCTATTTAGAGTGGAAACTGGCCAATTTGTTTTATGCTGTCGTTGATCTTTCTAAAATGGGTGAGGTAGATTGACATGCATTGTTTAAAAAATTCAAGTTGTCAATTAATCGAGAACTTAACTCCCTAGAAAAAAGTATTCACAAGTTTACGAAATGGTGATTTATTAAAATAAAAAAAATAATATATAAATAAATTATTCCATTAATATTTTCTATAAAGTTAACCGGATAAAAAGAAGAAGAAAAAGTAAAAAATAACATCTATAAGATATTTCGTTGTTTTTATTAGTCAAATGTAAAAAATTTAAGTTACTCTTTCACATTTCACGTCACATTCTATTTTGGTTGAAGTTCCTCCTACTTGTTTTCGTCTCTTTCGATCGTCAAATCTTTTTGAGAATACATTTCTGATAAGTTGTTGACCTGCTCAAGACATATTAAGTCAAATATATTTGATAAAAATTTCTCTATTTTATTAGAAAGGATCGTGATTCTTTTACAGAAACATCAATCATATATTTATAAGGTTTGTAGTGACATAGTTCATTAATTAAACACACTATACTTTTAGATGATATTTTATTTAATTCTTTTTCTTATATTTATTTAATCATGAAAAACTTTTTTATTATATATTACTAAATCTCATAATAATTTTTGTTATATTAATATAATTAATATGTGATAATCAATATATATATATATATATATATATATATATATATATATATATATATATTTGAACAACGACCAAATACATTATTAATATATTTTAAAATAATTAGTTTATTAGTTTTTACTCTCTTTTTTAATAATTAAAGTTTTAAACTTTGTATTTTTAAGTTGAAATAACAAAAAATGAATTTAAATAATATAATACAAAATTTATAAATATTTCAAATGATTTTTATCATTATAAATATCTCAGATGAACGTGTAATATTTTAATTCAATTTATTATAAATATAATTATTTAAAACTTTATGTGCTGTAATAGTTTTCTATTAAATAATAATAATTTAATTTCTGTATACTAAAAAATATGAAAAATATTTAATAATAAAAATATTTATACATAAATTAATATAAAAAAAGATAGATGTACTTTTTTAAAAATAAAATTACTATGTTATAATTTATTTTATATTACGTGTAAATAATTTGTATTATTAATAAATATATTACTTTTAGAAATAAAAGTAAAATATCGTTTTTTTAAATTTTATTTTATTAAATGACTAAATAATTAAAAATCACAATGATAAAAATAAAAATGAAAAACATAATATAAAAAAATAATATTTTAAATATAGTTATTTTTATCTATGTGTATGTATGTGTGTATTTCATATAAAGTCTTAAATTATTTGTCACAAAAAATTGTAGTTTATTTTAAATGTTTAATCTAATTTTAAAGAGTTTGTAATATTAATTTATTTATAGTATTAATATATATATATATATATATATATATATATATATATATATATATGGAACTAGCTATT